ATCCTTCAGTAACTCCCACAACTGTTGCGATTCCTAAACACATTCACGAGACAAAGGCCCGCAGAGAATAGAGCAACAATTCGTAGTGCATAAATATCCTGGGTCGGTCAAGCTCGAGAGCTCGTACGCGTGTTTACGCACGCAGCCACTGAAACAGGGAAAACTTTTCGCTCGAGAGAGCTCCTACTTCGTGCACAGAGAAAGAGAGAGAAAGAGAGAGAGGCAGGGGAAGCTTTCGAGAAGTACTGCAAAGCGCAACAACTGCTACTGCTTTGCAAACAGAAAGTGCCACAGGTCGATCAGAGAGACACAAGTCGCGACTCCTCGAGTGCGTGCATACGGGATGCTGATCCTGTCCACAATATCCCTATTGTACGTACACACTTTCTATACTTGCAAAGTAGCACAAACGCACACTACTGTAACTCAAACTCCGGCTGTAAATAACATTACTCGGAGATCTCTATTTTTCTGCTGCTCCGTTTTCCCTACTACTTTTCCCAAGCGCGCGTACTCAGGTTTGGTTCTCGAGAGTCAAGAAGGAAGCACGTTTCGTGGCAGCAAAAAAGTGTTCTTATTAATGTGCGACCTCGCCCACGCCGCGTAAACATCTAATTTACGAAAATAAGAGGCGCGTGAATTACCTGTGTGGAATTATTACGCGCGAGTTTCGCACAGCAGCCCCGTTGAAACAGCGCGTTTATCATCATCACGGCAGCTAGAAAATGGCACGTATACGTATGCGTGCATGGGTAGAAGCATTGCACCCGTTGTAGGAGCTAATGGCTTAATCGAAGTAAGAAAGAGAGATAAAAAAAGATAATGCTTCGCAAATAAGCAGCTATAAATCGTATCCACGCCTCGATAACTCACCCAAGGATTCGTTGCGTTCAACCAACGGCGTAGGATTTACCATCGGAATTAAAATTTAAAATTCAAAGAAGAAGAGGAGCAAAATTGACCCAGTCGACTGAGTAAGGGGGTTGGAAGGCCTTAGAATATCTCAATTGTCCCTTCGCGTCGTGGTGCAGTTGGATAGACTGCAATCCAGTAATACCCTCCTTCATGGAAGGGTGGGGAGAAGGAGGGGTCGGCGATCGAGGCTGGCCGAGGAAAATTCCACGAACCATCTAAATCACCGTGCATTAATAACGACGAGCCGCTCCTCTACTGCTGACTCTCGCATGGAAGCAGCAGCCGTCGGAAGACCGTCGTCGCGTGCACGTGTAGACTTGTACAGCTAGGCCTTACATGATTTACGTGTATAGGTAGTTTGGAATCGAGTGTAGTCAGCTGTGGATGCGGGAAGGTATAGAGTCGTAGACAGACGCTTGCGGCCCCGATTCCCAAAAAGCCACAATACTGTCGGGATTCCGGGAATTCCTCGACGCGAGCATCACGTACGCTATATCCAGTATGAATAAAAACAGAGCAGGGCCAAAAGGAGTCGCGCCAGCAAGCTATCTTTGTTTGTGTGTTTGAGGTATGTATATACCTGCAATGTGGCCATAAATCATTAACGTGGACAGAATTGGACGCAAAGAAAACGGAACAACAAGTTGCACAGAGGTGTGATGCACGTATATTAGAAAATGAAACGTAGAGAATGTATAGGAAGAGGTAGGTATAAATACAAAAAGTGACCAAAGTAGAAGAGAGAAAAGAGGTGGGTATAATTGCGGAGGAGGAACAGTGACATTATGCTCTTTGAGACCGAGCTGCTTTTGCTTGCTGCTCCTCTGGGCGCAATTAATGGGAGCTGTAGCAGTAGGCCACCCCGTGCGCAAAGGCACTGGGCTATAATTCGAGCTCGCATTATCTCCCGCCACCCTCTCTATCTCGGTTCGGGCTTTTCCGCATCAACGTCCGAAAAAGGAGGAGACCGCAAAACGGTCTTTCACGGCGAGAAGCGAAAATTTGCCCCCAGTTCCTCGGATGTGCATTATTTATGTGGTGAAAAGGATTACAGCCTTGCAGCTGAGCTGCTATCCCTCTCAGGTGGTAGTCGTTGTCGCTACTGAAGTGCGCTCGGCAGGTGATACGCGCGGAAACAATGCGCAGAACAAGTAGAGCCAGGAGAACTAGAGCCGCTAATTGGGGGGAGGGGTGGTGAAGGAAAAGCTGTAGTTGTCGAGGGATGGGGGCTATGACTGTGTTGGTGGAGCAAGTGAACGCTCCCCCAACCCTTCGTAAAATTTCTGTGTTTCTCATGCTCTTGTCCGCAACCACTTATTTGCATTTCCACCTCTCTTCGTCGGTCTTTTGCTTGCTGTGTCCTCGAATTTGTGATAGGCGGTTTCGTGGACTGATATAGGCTTTTGGAATTGATATAACCGATTGATTGGCTGCGTATATGTTGTGATTAAAGAGATAAGAAATTGGTGAAGAGTGCTTTTTCCCTCCCGCCTCGTCCCGCTTCTCGGAAACTATCTATGGATCGCTCACGTAAATCGCAAGGTAAATTATACTTTCATACCTGAGGGGAAGAGTTTTCTGTGCTGACATTAATTTGTTTACGACAATTTGCGGTTTCTCCACCAAAATCGAGTTTTACATAACAATGTCTGACTATACCTTGACATTATCTACTTGCGGCGTGATCCTGTGGCAGTTTTAAGATCCTGATAAATATTTAATGTGTTAAGTGACAATTATCTGATAATGAAGTTCAGTAGTTTGAGAAGGAAAGTTTAGGGCTCAAGTTTTAATCTTCACCAAAACTTTAAAAAGCGATATCTTTATTCTATGATTTAGTGTTTTATACTACTGAATTTTAGTCATCTGCAAAAATTGGATCGACTAAGTAGATCGACAGTTTTCTTGTTAACTAGAAATTTTAACTAATTGACATCTTGTACTTTTTAGTGAGCCATTGCAAAGCTTCAAATTACCAATGAACATACAAACTGTATGCCCACTTTTCATTTCATCATTTTAATGAAAAATTAAACTCGACACGTCACGCACAGCCAAATGTATAAATATAAATTCGCTCAGTGAAATCCAATTAAAACTTTACCAAGCCATGAAAGGGGGGTGCCATTAATAAGCCTCGTCAAATGCGAATATCGCGTTCAGAAAAAAAAATGCCAGGCAAAATGAGAGGCGGATTTCTTCCAACCAACCCTATGGTTCTCGTGTAGTTTATAAAAACTCCCAATTAAGCCCACAACCTCTTCAGCCTATAAAGTCCCTCGTAGTGACTCCCGCTAAGCCATAGCGGAAACGACATCATTTCCGTATGATCCTTCGCTCCCTTCCGCTTCAAAAAGTCGGTCCTCCTCTCTCAGCCTTTGGCCAGCTCGTCGAGTGCTTCTAAACTTCGATTCGCAGTTTCGAATGGACGCGATATGAGTAGAAAGAGGGAGGTGTAGACCGCAAAACATCAGCTACGGACGGCTCTCCTCCTCCCGCTGGAGACGAATGTAAATGACGCTGCGTGGAATAACTGTGTCGGTCATGTAGATCTGTACCACCACAGTTTCGCTCTCGCTCTTGTATTGTTAACATACCAGAGGGTTAGTATTTTATTATGTCAATCGTCCTGCACAGGCTCATTTACACTGGAGACCCCGAAATTTGGCTCCCAACTGTTTAATTATTCGACTCGCGTCCCCCAACACTGTTCTAGTGTTGTACTTGGCTGGGTAAATTTTCGGGGTTAGAGGAAGAGAGAGCGAGGACAAATGTAATGGATTAACGATTCGGGGAGCGGGGTTTGCAGGTTTCTCGAAAAATGAGGTAAAAAGCGGAGTATCTGCTTTAGCTACTGTGAGGTATTGTAGTCTTTGACACCATTATTGATCATCGTGATGAGATAAAATTTTTATATTCAGTGTTAAAAAAAAAAAATAATAGTGAAAATTCGCATAATGCTGCATTTCAACGCCCTTAGCTGAAATTATTTAAGCACCAAAACAAACTGCATCATCGACAATAGTTGATTGAAACGATATTTTTTCGATGTATCCAACTTCCGTGCTAACGAGGTTTTTTTTTATGGAGGAAGCTGTACAGGAGAAATAATCATCGCATTCGTTACACCTGCATCTGTCGGGGTACTTTTAACTCGTGTTGTAAATAAGTGCACCAGCAGAAAGTATATTTATTGTACTTTAAATCTGTTTGCATTTCGTTAGAGCGAATAATTACAGAGAGAGAAACTCTGTTTACTGCTCCGTTAAAAAAAAAAAAGAAATATTAATCAGTGTCTTTCAAATTTTTCTTTTTATATATATATAAATAGTAACAGAAATACATCGAAGTCAATATAATCATTGAAAGTTGTGTCATGATGATAAAGGCATGCTCGCTATTTATTTTTTTTGTCCAAGTCACCAATACCATAACGCTCCTAGCACATCGAGGAGGATGATCCCGTCACCTCGGCTTCTTTTATTCTTGTTTACTTTTCTTTCCTCCGTCAGCCGGATCAGAAGCTAAGTTTTTTCCTGACACAATAAGGGCTGACCTTCTTACGCAAGAGCAACAACGAAAAATACTCAAAGCACCCACAGCCGTGGATTAGGTAGAATAAGTATGGTAAGGTTAAAAACACACACGCATACAGTGTTTGAACTCTCTCTTCCCAAGTATTGTCGAGCTGTCGCTCATTCTCGAAGTTTCTCACGTCAACTCGTCGTCAGGCAATCTCGGCGGATCGATCCACCCTTCGCCTCCTCCGTTTCAACCAAAGTGCGTCTCGACTTTCAAAAATCCCCTCCACCACCGCCTGTCAGGAGCACACGCTCGCGCTTCACGCACAATGGACGCGGCGGTTAACGGAGTCCCGCGACGATGACGAGTCCTTGAATTATTCGGTTTCACGAGCAGTTCCGCCTAGAAATCGATCGCAAGCCTTCTGCATTTTTCATTAGACACGCCTGCAAAGAACCAGGCCTCTCTCCGTACAATAGCAACCATCTCACAAGTTCTCACAACACCGGCGTCCGTGAGCTCGAGCGATCAACGACTGCGAAACGCGCTCTGCTGCTGCATACCACCACTGTTGCGCTTCTTCGGCGGTATCGTGTTGAGCGCTGTGCTGGACTGATCAGTTGAATGTGATGACAATGTAAACATGATTATAAATAATAGTATACGATTCAAGCTCCTCACCATAGAAAATGCGACACAACAAGCCTTACAAAAGAGAATATTTTTCATCAAACTAAACATTTTAAATGGATAACTTGTACTGTTTTTCCTTGATGATACCTTTTAAGCCTATATGTTACTACGCAAAATACCTTATATGTTTTCTTTTATGGAGGGTTTTAAGTTATATTTATTTTCGCGAGGAACTCAACAAATTTTTTTTTTTTTTTTTCTTCATAAAAGGCGACGATTTACGATTCAACTAATTTTGTTTCCGTAATTCGATGCAATTTATTCGTCGACGGAATGCTCGTTGCTCGCCAAATTTTGAAAACTTATCGTAGGCTTGCAAGCAGCTACTGCGTCGATAAATTTCACCAATGTTGGCTTGGCTGGTTTAACTGCTTAAATTAAACAACAACAAATGCACGCCCACGTACACATTACGCGAGTCGTCGATCATCGTCAAAAGAGACCAGTGGTTTGCGTGTCGTTGAGCACTAGCCCCTCGAAAGTGTCAACGCCTACTTTGTCCTGTGAATCATTATGTACATACATTTTAAACAGCTGGCACTATGAAGTGTCAACGAAAGTTATTACGAAATCCACGGTCGTGATTCCAAAAAGTTAAAACCAGCCGTGCAACCGTAACAACCACAGTAACAGTAGGTACAGGAAAAGCAGGTCAATTCTATACCACGTGCACGTACGTTCACCGCAACCATGTTAAATAAGTGAGACCAGAGACTTTCAACAAAACAAATTGACATTGTCACTTTGTGAAGTCAAAGGCATATCACAACATGGACTTTTCCGTAAATAAACGAGGCTCTACAAAAGCCGGGCGCATCTAAGCACACTTGGCCGTAGGTCAATCATCATCAGCTGTTTTTGTGCACACTCATGTGTCTGTACTTGTACAAATACATGGTAAAGAAGCAGTGAGACCCGCAAAGCCACATGCGAAGAGTACTATATAAGCGGCGCCGGCCAGGCGGATAACCGCAGCCGCTGAATTATTAAAACGCAACCTACCGTCCATCCTCCTTTTCCTTCTCACTTTATGATGTCGATATACGTACACTCACCTGCCTAGCTGGCTATCTCTTGGCGTACCCACCCTCTCTTTTTCACTACTTGCATGCAGTTTTGAGAAAAAAAAAGAGAGGGGGGTGTGGGGAGAGAGTGAGACAGACAGGTGGTTACGGCAGCGGAGCGGCAGCAGTAGCAGGAGCCTCAAAGTGAAGGAGTCGTTAGCTCGGAAGTGAACGAGGGGTTTGGGCTACTTTAGGAATTAAGCTTTCATGCTCTAATCAGGAGTGTCTAACCTACATCCCCCCTGCCAGGCTGCTACCACTATAGCCACTGGTGCTGCTGCGGTACCCGAGCTAAATAATTAATGATGATGAATTTAAGGATGCGCATGTGTCTTGTAGCTCAGGGAGTTGGTGTAGATCAATCAGACTGATGCGGCATTATACGCGGAGTGATGTGCTTTATTTAGCGTTTTGTTCTGTGAACAGGTCTAGGGGATGTCTGAATGGTGTGCATTTCAAGCGGTTGGCTAGGAGGAATGTTACGCAATGACAAGGTTGAGGAACTAAACAAAAAGAATATTAAAAATAATATGATAGAGAGCAATAGTGTATGAAAATAAGCAACGATATAGGTTAGTTAGTAGGTCCATCGGGTATATAATTTACGAAGTAAAGAGTTGTTTAAACTTGTATGCAGTGATAAATAATGTAAGCGGTATAAAATAATGATGAAAAAGAATAGAAAATGATGAGCAGAGGCTTCATAAATACAGAGTTTACTGTTAACTGGACTAAAATTGAACGTTTATTTTATTACTGAGCACAGTAAATCATTCAGTAGAGGGATACTTTTGAATACTCAAAATTCACATATAAAAGCTTAAATGAATTAAAAATTAAACAATCTATTAAACTCTCAAAAAGAGCTCGTTTATTAATGGTCTCTTTCATGTTTCATACATAATTAACTACTTCCGATCGTGAGGCTAATATTTTTATATCACTTCAAAAGTGAAGCACCATCCCAATTCTTATTAGGACTTCTTCTCAACACACATCTACTACATATACTCGCTCATCTGGTCGATTTCTCCGTGCCTTCCGCATCCCTCCTCTGCCTAGTGGTTTGCTCACAAACGGCACATGTTTGACTTTAATCGGATCATTCGCAGCTCTGATCTTCATTTGATGTATGTATTACCACCCGTACTCACATTTCCAAATACCGGAGAGAAGAGAGGGTCTCGGAGTAATCGATCCATTGAGAACCAGTGAAGCGGAAAAAGTAAGAAAGACGTAATATGAAAGCTAATGGGATGGAAGATACGGACGAGTCGAGCAGAGGGAATATTATTGCGATTACCATCGGCTCTATGGAAGCGAGTTACGATGAATTTGCGAAACGCGTTCCGCGAAGGCGGTACATTCAAATTGAAATTTCGTGCCTTCTCTGTGATTTGTGTTTCGGATGATGTATTACAGTTGGAGCTGCATACAAAGTGGCTGGTGTGTGTGAGTGTGTATTCGCGCGTGTTTATTAGCACGGTTGTCGCCACGAGGGTGGGGTGTAGGAAACCCGTCGCGCGTGTTAATTATCTGAAAATAATAGGCTTCTAAAACTTTGACTTGGTCATGCTTTTTTCTTTCTTGCATCATAGAGCGTTGATTAACGAACGGATCCAGTGTTTAAAATTCAATTTCAAGTACATGAATTATGTACTCACCAAGTGTTTTTACTTGAAAATTTATTAATCACGTATTATAGTGGTTTTGAATATACATCATGTGATTGTGGAATCGACTTTCAGTTTCCTATATCATTTTCTATCACTCCACCCAGTGCACTGATCTTCCGAATCAAGCCGTTTCCCGTTGAGTCTGACTACTGACCGACCCTAACTACTTCAAAAACCGACAGCCGCCTCAAATTATCGGAGGTACCAGAAACAGAAACAAAAATAAGCAAAACAACTCCGAAAGCGACAAACTTGAGGAGCCACAAACAGCAGGAGGATAGCAAAACCACGCAATCCGTCTGAATCGAATCGATGCTGCATGAGTGCAAATCGAGCTCGAAACTCTCCTGAAGCCTCGGCGGCCTCAGAACTTGCGCAGTTGCAGCTGTTTCAGCGGCTAAGGGGTGGGCGCTAAGTCTCGTTAATCGCCAGCTCCACCGTCTCGAAGCTCTCGTGAGAGATAAGGGCCAGGAGGAAAGGAGAGGGCGAAAACGTGCGGCGGCCTCTGAAATTCGCCACATTAGTAACACTCGAGAGGGAAAAGTCCGGGGGATCAAGAAGTTTCCCCTTGGTTCCTCGTCTTCTTCCGCCCGCAAGTTTCTCTTTCGTCATGAACGCGCTTACGGACCGCAAAGTCAAATGCTTACCTCCTCTCTCTTTTGCTCGTCACTAGTGCCATTAACGCGTGTCCTTTCTTTCAGAGGGAGTATAATTTATCACCCTCGAACATTTTTTCCTACCTTTTGCTCGGCACAGTTTTTTGGCACGTAGCCGGACTATAGAGGGGGGGGGGGCTTTAAGTTTTTTTTTGTGCTAGCTAGACTACTTCTTCTCGGTTGGATCTTGAATACCATTCCAATGCCTGATGATGATGCCTGTCGGTAGTTGCAAGTAATGGAGAGACCTAGGATTTTTGCGTCAACAGTATTTTGAATGCTCAAATTGGAAACATTCTAAATCTTATCATATTTCTTCAGATGAATAATTTTTGATGTGTAATCAAGAAAGTTATTACGAAAGTTTTCACATTTATCTGCATGACGTAACGTGTATCGTATATGGTATGCTTTAGATGCATGTCAGAGACGTAACAAAAGCTTTTTTTCGAAATTTATAAACAAAAGCCTCGAAAAGTATTATTCCGTTAGACGCCAATGTTATTTTGCTTATACGTAGTATTTTTTTTTATTATTTGATAACATGCACCGTGATGGGACACGCTTCTACTAAAGGAAGGAAAAAGGGATGAAGCATAAACAAAGAAAGCACCAACTCGCGCTGTAAGAGATTAGACATTGGATGCGCAGTGAAAAGCCGATGCGGAGCAATTGTATAAGCGAGAGTGTATCTATTTAGGTCTAAGCTTTCTCTCGCACAGCAGGTGGTGGCGTGTAAGCATACATTAGCTGACTTTCTGAAATGAATTATGAAATAGCTTTCGTACGAGAGTGGAAATCAGCTCTACCTCTTGATATACGTTTTGCTTGTCACACAACTACAAGTAAATTAGGAAATACGTTCGACTAGTAGTAGCGGACTTTGTCTTCATGCGAGTATTGCTTTTCGATTCTTGTATCATCAAACATTTATTTGTTACTCATAGTCAAAAACGAGATTTATAAGAAAAGAATACGCAAATCGTTAAGCCATATTTTAAAATTCATACAAGCAAAAGAAGCTTTTAAAATGAACGTATTCCTAGGCTTGGGGATGGAAATTATTATAAAATTTTACGTATTTTTAAAGTGGCCTTAAAATTTTAAAGTGATTATATGAAATTTTTATACACGTAATACTATTCATTATTCATGCAATGAACATAAAATACCATTGATTCTTATAAAATACTCTGTAATGTCGAATCGCTGAACACCGTATAAATAATGATCCTCACAAAATGCATCCTTATGATGTTTACATTAACAGAGATCCAAAATCATACCACAACTCTTGCACCACAACAAAAGACTTAAATAAATGAACAGTAAATAAATAAAACTATATTCAGGCAAGCGGTAAAAGTATATTCAAAGATGGCTTATGACAAATGGATGACAACGAGTGTCACGGTTATGTATCCGGGAATTACGAACGGAATCGACGACGAGACTATGAGGCACTTCCAAGCGTTTTCGTTTTTCCTATATGACAGTTACTTGTTGAGTCGAGGCTCTATGGGTGCTGGATAAAAGCGTTTTCCGGTAAAGTCGCT